GAAGCCCCCTATGTAATAGCCAATTTACATGACAGGTCCTCTTTATGGAGACATCAGTGGTCTCCAAGACCCCTAATGTCACCTAGGGACCCCCAGAGAAGCTGATGAAGCAGAAATCTGCTTCATCAGCTTCTGTAGCTGGAGAGTGACACTGAATGCAGGAGGTGATGTATTCTACATCACTTCCTGCATTCAGGGACTGAGAGGAGATCAAAGGGAGTTCGTATACTGAACTCTCTTTGATCTCCTGTCACAGAGCCACGCTGGCAATGGCAGTGACAGCTGCTAATACAAGCATCGGGCGTCTCTAGAGATTGCTTGAATGTAAGCTCCCGGCGGGCCGTTTAATTACAGCGGCTGGCCGGGAAGCTGCTCGTCGGGCTCCACCGTCCTCTCGTCACAGACAAGCGGATGACTGAATTTTTCAAGCCCTGCATATGATCCTTGCACACGGCCAGGACATACAGCTGTCAAGCTGTCACAGAGTTAACTGCGGTTCAGTGTAAAAAAACGGCATATTACTTGTACTGTGCCGGTTTTTTACACTGAACCGCAGTTAACTCTGTGACAGCTTGACAGCTGTATGTCCCGGCCGTGTAGTGTACTCCTGTCACTGGTACAGTACCGCAGGTGGGAACGGCTCTATCGGGGGGGGGGTTGCCCCGTTGCCCCCTCCCTGGATCCGCCACTGAGCCTAGCTGTCATGTTGACTACGGGTGACTGACCTGGAACAGGTATGCAAACAAAGACTTGGCTTTTATTTCATCTGTATACTTGTTTGGGTCGAAAACAAGGCAACCAACTAGAATTTTCAGATGGAGCTCGGTAATGGCAGTTCTCATATTTTTCTTTTGACAGGTTTACTTTAAAGTGGAGCTCCAGCTTAAACTTTTTTTTTTTTTGGATAAAGTGAGGAAGGGTTATAACTTCTATAGGGATTTTATTATGGTCTCTATCCCTATCGAGGAGATTTCCCTCTCACTTGTAGTCCTGATGCATTGAGAGGAAGTGAGGGGAATATTTTACCAAGAAGTGGGAAATCTTCTTTTGTTAGGGCCAAGAGAAACATGCTCGGATGGCTGTTGTAAGTAAACAAACCATCTGGGATTGCTCTTTTCCTGAAGCTGGCCAAACACTGTACGAATTCGTTCAGTGGGTGGCCCTGTTGGCCCTCTTCCGTCCAGCATCCTTTGATCAGAAAATCAAGGGTGAACAGTGATGGCACACCCTCTGCTGTCAGAATACAAAGTACACATAAGGAGATTCGTCCATCCATGCTGTGTAGTATTGGTGGAGGAATCTGTTCTATTTTTTTTCCGTTCAGCCTGCAGGTTGAACAAAAAAATATAAATATGGCCATCTTTACAAAAGCTTGCTTGGGATCTCTCCCTTTGCAGCGGAGTTAGCTTGTATTGTTCTGTAACTTCATGTGCAGCTATAAAACATTTCCCAAGCATGTTATATAAAAGAATTGGTGTTTTTTTCAATCCCGTCATTCCCACCTGTGCAATACATACAGTAGTCAACAACTACCTTCCACTACCACCCTGCTAGCACCCAATAAGGTGGAGCAGAGAACTGCCCACACCTATTGTTTAAACTGTCTATGAAGGTTCTCATTCATCCAGGTTATGTTATATTTGTAAAACTTAAGTAGAGGCAACTGGACTTGCTGTATTTTTCTTGAAGACGTTCCACTGGTCATCCAACCAGCTTTCTCAATTGTTTAATCATTTTGTTAAAACATTTTCCATTTTCACTATAGTCTGCATTATATTTGAGATGTTTTCCTTTAGATTTATGTTCCTATACACCTAAAAATCTGGATGCTTGACCAGCTTCAGGTGTGGCTAGGGTGTAGCTAGTGTTTAAATAACTGTAATTTTAGTGCAGATGCTTGATAGTTGTCATTGTTCCTGAAGGCTGCACAGAAATACATGTAAAAAATGGTATAATATATCTTGAGGAAATCTGAATACTGCCACCACTACATCCCACTGTCTCTAGTACGGTATTCTGTTTACTGTGCATACTCCTGTGCTGCTGAAGAAACCACTCTCAGACACCACTAAAGGTGTCTCTGGAGTCTTTGGAGTTTTTTTGAAAAGCAACCAATTTAATTTAATACAGGTCCCCTAATATTTGATGAAAATAATTTTGTTTTTTTACCAAGACGAGCTACATTTTACATAATGTACCATTTTATTTTACCTTCACAGAACTTTTCAAAGACCGGGCTAAAAAAAATTCTGATAGACATGGAAAAAAACAAACAGAAGTATGAAGAGAAGGCTAAAGAATCCCTTCAGAAATTAACAGATGACAAAATAGCCATGGGAAGTCGTATTCAAAACACTCAGGTTTGTAACATGCATAATGGCTTGAAATATTTACCTAAAATATTTTTATACAATGATTGAATAGGCACAAAAAAATGTCTGAAAAGCATTTTGAGAAATCTGTAAATCTTATAGAAGGATGGAAGCTGTGTGTGTTGTAAAGTAGACCCCGCTTCAAGGTCATTCCCATGATGGATTACAATATCAATACAAATTAGTAAACTAAACGTGAGATTGTACAACACACACGAGGACCATGGGGAACAAAAGTAGCCACCCTCTAGAAGGAAGGACAGTGTCGGCATGAATGCATGAGATTAATTGAGGATCTACAGTCGAGTGATACACAAATAAGATACATTTTTGAATGCAATTTGAAGGTTTAACTCCTGAGTTTAGTGTTGCTTTAATTTAAAACTCATGAAACACTTTAGATTTCTTTTGTATTTGGTCATGTAGTCAGATAGTGCAATATATAAATATTACAAATCCTTTCTTGTCACTAGATAAAAAGGAACAATCGTCATACACACAACGAATGTTTTTGAAGTCATGTCGATACATTACCCAGGAGGACTGAAATCTTTAAAGCGCAACTGCTCTTTTAGCTAATGGGCTAAGCTTTATACTTACTGTTACCCCCTCCACTGAGATCTTTACTGCTCGGCACTGCACAGCTTTTCTTCATATTTTTCAGTATCGGGTAAAGCTACTCCATCTCCATCTCCATTAAAGTCTACAGAGAGTTTTTGTATGTGGGACTGGCTAAATAAGAATTTTCCAATGGATTGATGGAGATTGCGGTGCACATGTGCAGGACGAGCCTGAGTAGTAAGACCTGGTGGGGATTGGGGAAGGTCATCACAGCCCAGTTATAAAGGTTTCATGTATTTCATCAAAATAACAAAGGATTTAGATGGGTGAACCAAGACATTGCTAAAATGGAGAGCTTTCTGAGTCATTTAATATGGGTAATATAACAAAATTCTGTTTTCTTTAAAATGAAAAACTCCAATAACACGTAACTTAATATTGTTACCCTCTTAAATGTTGTTCAAGTTTATTTTTACATTGTAAACATCAGATTCCAGGCTACAACATGTAATAACTGACTGCAGTGACTAAATGAATATAGGCATGGTTACTGTATTTATTATTGTTATTGACTCAATGGATATTCTTATCTCATATTCTTATCTCAGATGTCCTTAGTGGTATCAGCAGACGAGTGTGAATTGTGGAAAGAAGAATATGAAAAATTGAAGGCAGACTGGATTGAACTAAGCAGCAAGCACTGTGAACTAAAGAATGACATGAATATTTTGCAGAGTAAGCTTAAGGTATATCTTATGTGCTACTAATAACAGTTTTGGTTATTAGAGAAGAACATGGAGGCACATTCTGCTCTTATAAATTAATATTTCACAACGTGCGTATTTATATATACTGTATATGCAGAACATGGTTTACTACATTACCTATAGAAAACACAATAGATAAAGCGCACTCCTGTGGGAAGGACACCCTTCAAAATGATGGCTGCTATGGGATGGTGTGCAATGCTCCTCGCTACAGGGAGAGGACCCTGTGTAATAAAACCAAAAATAAAAACAAGAAACTGAGAAGCGCAACTACCAGGAAGTGTGTTTGTAAACTAAATCTGGCAGTGCATAAACAACAAATGTATAAGTGCACCCCTGTTGTGAGGTCACACGGCGCCCGGCATCTCACAGCCTTCCGTGGCTCCTTCCTCGGCCCGGCCAGTCGAGTACGTGGGCGGCCAGTCGAGTACGTGGGCGGCCATACGGTCCCACACTCTGTCCGGACCCGCCACTTGCACCACTGGAGACAACCCGTCGAGCCAGGATCTATTCTAGGGACCTGTCGCACAGAAACCAGGGGAACTCCTAACTGTGAGTCTGTTGTGTTGTAACATTGCTATAGTCATCAGCACTTCAAGGGTAATAGCACTCCTGATAATCTCTTGGCACCACATTGATCCACAGGGCTCCTTTCCCTGCACACCGATTATTTTAATCCACATTTTTTCTACCTAATGAACATTAACCGCTTGCATCCCCATTCCTTCCTCTAATTCCTACTGACATTTCCCAGCAGTGTGACCTCACAACAGAGGTGCACTTATACATTTGTTGTTTATTCACTGCCAGATTTAGTTTACAAACCTGGTAGTTGCGCTTCTCAGTTTCTTGTTTTTATTTTACATTACCTATATATCTATCTAGTACCACTTTAACTTCCTGAAAGTAAAAAGATAAAGATGTCCGTTTCTTCAGAACCTGGACACCACCGATCATGACTACCAATCCAGACTAGAGAGGTGCTTTTATAGCTTTAGAACATCTGCTGCTGTATGGAGGAGGTTACATGGAGCAGATCTAAATAATAATAGAAAATGTAGCCTCTAATAACTATATAAAATGTTCCCTCAACTAATATTACAATGCGGTATATCGAGCATTTGCGTAGTGCATGAAAATAATATGGTATAAATTGGAAATAATCTTTAACTTTCTTCTAACTAGCCAGTGACCTATGCAGTAGCAGCCATGAGCTAGCTTTGAGCCGTGACCTCTCTGTGGACTATAGGAGTGATTTTAGGCATTCAAAAAGCCACCTTATCACTTCTACAAACTAAAAAAAATAATCCAAACAGGACCAAGTGCTATGTGCACTTGCTCTCTCGGCGGATAAAATAAAATTTCTATATTTTTCATGAGAGGAATTGAATTGGAGTGATCTCCAAATGCTCTTAATTCTTAGCCACCACACACTCCCTCATGGTATAACAAAGCCTTACTATATTCAAAACAATCACAGATACAGTGATTACAGATACAGCACATTTTGATTTTAATAGTTAAATATTTTAAGGACAACATTTGGTGTGTAGTCTCAAAATGGTAATTACTTTGTTCAGATAGAATAGTATTTTGAAATATTGTAATAACGCAAATACAGAACTTCCATTTTACCTTTTATTTAAGTCTTTAATTTTTATGCAAACTTATGTTCTTGATACCAGATTTACATATTGGGAAAAATGTATTGACTATCCATCCAGTCAAACCACATAGACTTGGGGCTGTCTCCCAGCACAGGGGACACTTGAAAGATGTCCTTCTAGAAATGTATAGGGATTAATTTAGCAGGTGCAGACGGCAAAAGGAAGAGTTCACCCAAAGGGGATTGCTTTAGGTCTAAGGGGTAGGCAAAAAGGATAACTGTTCTCTATAAGTACAGCATCCTTTTACCTGTGAAATTTAACAGTAATTTAATCTGATTTAGGGTGCTCAAACGTATGCACACATCTGCTTTGCTAGATAATACAGTAATATTTCTTATGTTGTGGTGTGTCATTTCAGTGGGTTACAAATCAAGACGTACATCTTCAGCAGCTTCAAAATCACCTACTAACCTTGCAGCAAGAGAGAAATGACCTTTACGTTTGTAATGAGCAGTTGCAGGAGGACTACGAGATCCAGAAGGAGCAACTCCGTTCTTTACAAGGTTATTGTAGTCTTGAAAAAGTCACTTTTAATAGTCTATTTGTTACAAAATCTCCACTTCCCATTCACTCTTGAGTGTTTTTTTTGTTTCCCAAAGTGCAAAAACGTTTAACATTTACCTGAGCGTTGTGTGGCTGGTTTCTTGTAGTGCTAAAAAGTACATGAGCTTTTTTTCGCACCTTCTAGTAACTAGTTTTCCATTGGTAAAGACAAAAATGCTTAAGTCTTAAAAGTTTTTTAATGTGTTAACGGGTTTTTAATGTTATCCAGGGCTGCGTTAGAGATCTATCCCTTTACTTACTTACACAGGGATTGTAAGCCTCCCCCGCTCTAAAACAAAAAAAAAGTTTTGACTCTCCTTAAAATAAAAGGTCTGTTTACACCGAGTACACTACATACATTCATTCAGTTATTCAGTAACACACTGCACCATATTGTGTTTGCGTGTTGCCATTCCATTTATATAGTGACGCAATGTATATACCAAATCCACCGCATACAATAAACAGTTAGGCTGCCTTCACATCTAGGCAGGTCTTAGCACCATTATACAGTCAACTAGCGCACTAAACAGCGCTGTGGATATGTCATACAAACCAATCGGACCTATTCATCTCACTGCACTTCAGTGCTGCCTGTATGAATATTATGGCAGAGATCTCCTCATGACGTTTACAGTTTTCTTTTTTTTAAACTGTAGAGAAGAAGCATGGACGCTGCAAATGCTGACGTCTCCTTCTTCAAGGAGGTATTTTTTTAATTAATCCTTGCAGTGGGGCTACCCTTGCACAAGGGTTAACCATGTTTTGGTCTAGGGCTGAAAATAACGGTTATTCTCATCTGATCCTCTGAGCTGGCCAGCTGTGACAGCGGTCCCTGCAGTCTGTCTCCTCTGTTGCAGCAATGGAATTTCCCTTGACGTCCTCACGTCCTATACGCTGTGTATAGAAGATGATGACACCGGGGACCTTACACCACTGCAGTGGAGGGGGAGAGATGCTCCGGGGGGACTGGCCTAAGAGCAAGCTGGCTCAGATGAGCAGGTGAGTATAACTTTGCTTTCCTCCCTAGACCAAAACAAGCAGTTAACCCTTGCAGTGCGGGGGTAGCCCCACTGCAAGGGTTCATTTTAAAAGATTATCTGAAAATCTTGTTTTAAAGTAAGAGTTCCCTGTATGTCATGCTGTTCAAATGGCTTCAGTAGTTAGGTCACTGACCCAGAACAAATATGTGGATTAGGAAATCTTGACTTTACTTTGACTTCCCTAACCTGCATGCTTCCTCCAGGTCCATATCTCTAAGTATTGAAGCTGAAGACAGCCAGACAACTAACATTTATCTGTAGGAGGTCAACAGTGACAGCCTCCATATTTCTCTTTATATGTGGCAAAACATGTGAACAGGGCTTACATGGTGATTTATGCTGACCTATCTCTTAAAAATCAGTTGTCTAAATTGGCTTTTTCTTATATTGTCGCTATTATTTTTTTTACTGTAGCTTTAATGTAAGGCCCGAAAAAGTGGGGACTGTTTTTAGTGTATAAATATGCATGCTTGCCTTTGAGGATAGATCTTTACACCATCTCACGCCAGGAATGTCTCTCCGCTTCATTTTCCAAGTTAAAGCTGGCCATACACAAGTAGAATTTAGTTGGAATTTTTTTTCAGAGGTTCAATTTTCTGATGGTGAGTGAGATCTTATCGATGATTGCTTTTGAAAAAGCAGGATTAAAAAAAAGTTGTTTCTTATTTGAATCAACGATATTCTAACTATGAATATGATTTTTGTTCAGGAAAAAAAAAAATCATACGTATTGCCATAGGCGTGTGCTGAGCACAAAGAAACCTATTTAATATGTCTGTGATTCCATTCAAGTAGTAGATATGGATGAAATTTTAAGGGCTTTTGAACTAAATTAGTTAACTCAACAATGGCATCACCAATTGCTCTGATGAATGATTTAGAATGAATGTTGGAATGAAATTCTAATAATGATATGGGCAGCTTAAGATCTGTGCACTTTGTTTCCATCCAGAAGACATGGGAATGAGTTTATTATAAAAAAAAGATTTACACACTGATACTCATTGTGTTTCCTCTATTTAGCTAGATTACAGAATGCAGAACAGCAGAAACTACAGATGCAGATACAGATTAATAGTTTACAAAGTAAGTTCTCAGTAATGTGTACTCATTTATAAGTTATTATACTCTGCTGATATGTTATGTTCAGAAACTGACCTTAAGTAGATCTAGTTGTCTGATATTTTATAATTCTCAGTTGAAATGCTGCAGATTTGCCATCTAAATGATTCAGCATAAGACACTGTCTTTGTCATCTTAGACATTAAGATGCACCCTCCCCAAGCTTGTGTTCAATAAAGAAGACCTATAGTGACCATTCCTAGCAGATAACAGCTCCTTTTTATGAGCACTTTAAGGTGTACGTCTGGGCATAGTAATATAACACACGCATATACTGTGTGTGTGTATTTATATGTGTGTGTGTGTGTATATATATATATATATATATATTGTGTGTATATGTATATACACACACACACATACACTGCAAGTGCAGAAAAGTGCCTGTTGATTCTGTCTGAAATCTAATAAGCTCCTAGATTCCTGTAGTGACTTGACAACGTTGCCTCTGCTGCACGCACTGAAATCCCAAGCAGTGTTGACAGACCTGCCTGAGTTCTTCCTCTGCTGGAATACAGAACACCCCTCTTGTGTTATGGAGATGAGAGAGGGGGCATTCTCTAGTCCAGCAGGGTAGAGCAAAACATGGTTAAACTTTGCATTGCAGATATGTTTCTGTTTTTTTTGTGCAGACATATGTATTGTGAATTCAAAGGACTGTTTATTACTAGAATTAAACTTTCTCTTGTTGAATACTGATTATGAGGCTATTGATGGATCTGTGCATGATTATGAAAGGCTTCATTTTGTATAAGAGCAAACTTTTTAAATAAAAAAAATTGCAAAGTTTTCAGCAAGCTTTATAAACTTTAAAGTTTGGAACGGTTAAACACAGAAGTCACTTTAAACAACCTACTAGCAGGCTTTAATAAGCTGTTTAAGGGATCTTGTCATAAGAACAGTATGGGTGCTACCATTGCTGGCCCTTTAATAAAGCTAGTTTACTGGATGTGTCTGGCTTCAGTATTTGCCAACTGACCCTGCACTTGCATGAGTGTCAGGGAAGTGCGAGAATTCTATATCGCCACACTTGCTTTAGGTCAGTCATCCAAAAAGCACTAAAGTCAGTTGAATTGATTTACTAAAGGCCAATAGACTGTTCACTTTGCAAAGGGAATTTTCTCTTGACTTACAAAGAATACATATTCACATGCAAGGAAAAATGTCCTTGCAAAGTGAACAGCCTATTTGGCTATAGTAAATCAATCCCAATGTGTATGCATGATAGGAATGCATTAGCATTTTCAGCAAAAGACCACTAATGGCAGTAGCCATACTTCTCACATGACAGATTCCCTTGAAGCTTGCTAGCAGTTTTTGTATATATTTTAATCCTGAGCAACACTGTATTTAACTAAAACACTTACAATATAATTATTTAATGGTGCGGGCATCTCCTTATGTATTATTAAGAGCTTAGGGGCACACACAGAAGAGAAGTGAGCACATAGCTTGACTTTTGTGTTCCTTTTCTTTTCTTTTTTTCTTCTATTTCCATTAACAGGAGCGTAACTAGAAATCACAGGGCCCCATAGCAAAATTTTAGTATGGGGTCTTGTGATTTCTAGTTACGTCCCTTGCAGAGCCTACCTGATATCCCAAACAGCCCACCTGAGAGTGACCCTGCAGAGCCCGCCATAGACTCTCTATAGTGGGCTCTGCAGGGTCTCAGGTGGGCTGCACACTTCTTACCTGTCGGCCCCGATCTGCTGTCCGCCTCCATGGTTGCTGACAGGCCCCGCCTCCTCTTCCATCGTCGTGCCTGCCTCCTCCTCCGTTTCTGACGCCGGGCCCAGCCTTTCTCCTCCACAACTGCTGGCTGTCAGTGACACAGCAGTGGCTGTGAGGAGGAACGCGCCGCTGCACAGATCACTGACAGGTTGTCGGTGATCTAACAGCGACATGTTCCTCCTCACACCCGCCAGCGACAGCCAACAGCCTGAGATGCCATAGCCGCCCGCGCGTCATCTGGGGGATGTCCTGGCCGGGCCCCCCTGTGCCCCTAGCCCAATAGCGGCCGCCTGGGTCACTATGGCGATTGTTACCCCACTGTCCATTCATATTTCTTGACTTTATGGAGTGTGTTGGTTACTGGCTGATCCAAGGAGACCATATTTTGTATAGAGTATTAAATTTACAATATTTTAAAGCTGACTGAGTATAAAAGGTCAAAAAGCAAAACTTGCAGAAAAGAGAATTCCAGGTTCCAGCTGTGGGTTGGGGCATTCCTGCCCTGCAGTTGCACATAAACGAAGGGACAGGATGCATGTGCTGACATCATTGATCAAATATAGCCATGTGGCCATACAAGGTCAGTGATGTCACCGAATCTTGAACCTTTGCTTAAGTGCAACTGTGGATGGGATATTTCCCTTGAATTCTCCCAACTGAGCTTCCTTTTGGGTTTTGAGGAACTTAGGTTTGGATCAAACCTGGTCCTTACCTGAACTCGGCCCTATTAACAACACATGTTGCAATTTGTACAATTTATATCTACCATCACGAAGTGCAAGAACCTGCTTTATTGGATACAAATTTAATATATTTGACTTTTTTGTCGGAGTCGGTTAGAAACTTATCAGGGGAACTGTGCCTGCGTCTAATCAGATGCAGGTACTGTTTGGGTATTCAGCAGCCACAGCAGTAGCAGCTATGGAATACAATAGATGGCAGTGGGTATTCCTCTATCCAGGCTGTTTAGCGTAGATGGTGCAATCTAATGTTGCATAGTATTCAAGGTTGAATAAAGACATGGGTCCATCAAGTTCAACCCATTATGTATATGCATGTGATTCTGAATGTGTATGCGTGTATATGAGTCCCTGTGTGATCTTGTTCTTAAGAGTACCTGTAGCCCTGTATGTTATGCTCTCTGAGGAAATCGTCCAAATGTTTTTTGAATGATTCAACACTCGCAGCTGAAATCACTGCTTGGGGCAGCAAGTTCCAGACCCTAGCCGCTCTAACTGAGAAGAACCAACTACGCCCCTTGTGCTGAAATCCCTCCTCCACCAATTTTAGGTGGTGGCCTAAAATTGTTATGGAGCTTACCGTAAAAAGTTTATGGATGATGTTGCTATTAAACATCTTGTACATGAAAATCATATCCTCCCCCCCCGTTTAAATTTTGTAACCTTGTCTCATAGCTTTGGTCCTCCAGCCCCTTATTTTGGTTGCCTTTCTCTGGACTCTTTCCAGCACAAGGACATCCTTTCTATGGATTGGTGACCAAAACTGGACTGCATAATCCAGATGAGGTCGAACCAGTGATCTATAAAGTGGCGAAATTATCGCTTTGTCTCTACAAATGATTTATTTTGTTAAATGGAGTGATGTTGACGGCCAGCCACAGCTTGAATTTTAGGTGAAATTTAAGCAGTGTATGATCAGCTTTAGTTATGGTTGGGGATGATGACTGGTGATTTTAGCATGTTGTGTGGGTGATTCTAAATTGCCAAATCATAGCATGAGAAGCAACTATGTTCATTTTGCTAACAGTAATTTTCCTATTTATGGTTTATAATGAGATATGGAGACATTTTAGTCTAAAGGGAAAAATGTGTTTCTTCTTTCCACAGAGGGGCTTGCAGCACTGGAGCAGAAAAGCAGTTCAAGCATTACTTCCAACACAGGAATATTGGATTTACCCGACACACCTGATGTAGGATTGCAGAATGACCGCCTTCATTTTATTACGGAGAAGCTAACATCAACAGAGGAAGAAGTAAATACTTTTCTTGGTCTATGATTTCTTTTCTTCTGCTTGCTTTCCCAGAGCTTAGATCTTTTATAAATATTAGTTGCCAAATCAATGAATATATTATTCTCTACAAACACAGCCCCTTGTCCATGCAATCATATGAACTGTATAATTGCTATGCAGTGATTAGCGATTAGGAGTAAAGAAAAGTATACAATATGTGATCTTATTGTTTTTACATTTGTAATTAACTATCATTTGTTTCAAAAAACAGCCAGGCAAGTGTGTAGGCACGCTGAGCTAGTGAAGTAGACTATGCTCTAGCCAAATATAAATTGTAATTGATTATAAAATTGTAATTGTGACTATAATACACTAGCATGTATCAAACCAAGGTTCTCTCAAACAAGAATAATTGAAAATATTGATTAGCGTTTTTCCTTTTAATGACACCAAGAGTAATGGGAAGAGAGCTGGCTGCCTGTTCTTGACATCCTAGTATCTATATTATTGTGAAGTGTGACCCGGCTAATTTCACACCACCACTATAATTAATTTCCACCCTCTTCTCTATCCTGAAGGGGAAGACCAGCCACTCTCAATTATGACCCTTCCCTTCCCTTCAGGGATCACATGACCAAAAGCCTAGGCTTTTGGTCGTATGACCCCCATAGAAGGGAGCCTTTGAGCAAAAATTTTCTTCAGGAAAGGCAAGTCAGTATTTTTAGCCTGTTACTCTATATTTATATCCTTTCAGGCAAGACAGTTAATATAGCTTTAATTTAATGTTTGTGTAGAGATTCACTTTTATGATACGTCTTTTGTGTGTATGTCAGTGTGCAGGTTTAAAAGCAGAAGTAGAGTTAATTACTGAAGAATACAAGTCATGTCAACGAAAACTCCAACAGTGCCGGGAGGAACTGAAGGGAAATCACAGAAGGAAACCTGAGGTATTCTATTTCCAAATAAAAGCACTGTGTTTAATTGTCAGTGCTGAGTTTATAGCACCGTTTTTAAATACAGTAGACAGGTCTTAATAAAAATGACACTCTCCCTATTTTGATTTAATGGGTACCCATTTGAAAATACATATATTAGAGGTAATTTGAGGGTATATAAAAGGTTAAACTCCTCTCTTATGTCCCTGAGCTACTTCCTGGAAGTCATTGCCCAGTGCCCGTGTCAGATGTGAGATGGAAGTGAATGCAAGAGGTACTTGGAATGTACTAATGTATTTGGCTTCCAAAAATGTAGTCACACTGCTGTCACCTCCCACCAAGCTCCACTTGATAATTTGCATGAAATACCTCTTCAGTGGATCAGTCCAGACAAGATGGATATTTCTGTTTAGGTAAGTAGTGGGCTGAATCACTACTTTGGAGACTCCAGCAGCATGCAAGTGCAAGATTGCCCCAATTGAATCAGCCCTAAGATGGAGTCTGTAGGAAACGAGGATCACCAGCACTCAGAAGAAGACGTTCAAAATTCGGTGTTCATTTATTCAAACACATCGTTACATATATTACATAGCCAACGTTTTGGGGCCGCACAGGGTCTCTTCATCGGTCACTATGTTGCCCTGATGAAGGGACCCTGTGCGGCCCTGAAATGTTAGCTATGTGATATATGTGACGATGTGTTTGAATAAATGATCGCCAAATTTTGAACATCTTCTTCTGAGTGCTGGTGATCATCGTTTCCTACTGATTGATGCACACGGCGCCAGCCGTGATTATCACTACAAGCACCACCATTGTTATTGGTCCTAGATGCTGTAAGGAGTGCAGGGGGTTGTATCTGTATACCACGCTGAGGTGGAGTCTGACTTCTCCTGGAATTGTTATGTAGATATGAGAACTAATATGTTAAAATGTAGCTACACGTGTAAACCATATCCTAGATGCTGGTGGGTAATCAATCTTCTGAAATTTAGCAGGGGCTTTCCCAAGCAGTAAGGAAAGAATGTAATTATGAGTACTTACAGGGTTATTCACAAAAGGGTGAAGAGTTTGGAGAAGGCAGAAGTGATCAATCTATTTTGGCCTAGAATGTTCAATTCTCCTGCCTTGTCAAAACTGTTTAACCCTTTTGTGAATAACCCTGTTGGATTGTGAAGAAGAGCACAGTAGTTTTTCAGCAATGCATCTCAAGCTTTGTGTTAAGGAAGCCATATACATGGAAATTTCAACCACTACCAGCCAACGTTTACTAACAAATATGGTTGAATTGATGAAGGCAACCTGCCACCAACAGGTTCCATCTAGAACCATGAAGCAAAATGTTGGTAGCAGGTTACCTTGAAAGTGGTTGCCTTTGAAAATGACCTTGTATTTGGCCAGCAATAGACCTAATATATAATTGAGCCACACACTTCTGCTCCATGCTGCAGCCACATTGGAAGTGTTAGCAGTAGGTATTGCTGTATAAATGATTCCTATGAAAGCCATTTTAGGGCTCTTCTCAAATTGCACTCTTGTAGCAAAGGCATGGCTACATTTTAGGTCTAAATTCAGATTTTTAAAAAATGCCAGAATAACAAAAAAAGTAATAACTTCAAAGCAATTATGATATCCCAGATTTTAAAGCACTTTGCAATATGGTGCAAAATAAATTAGAATAATCTACATTGCCTCTTAAAACTGGACTTATTTGAATTGGGTAAGTGAAAGCATTGGGCCATATGACATCTGAAAAGAGAATAGTAATGTCTACTTGTCAGTACAACGAAACGTGCCTGCTACAATTGGTGGAGAGACATTAAATTAGGGTGGAAATGGTATTATTGGAAATTAAAATAAACATCATGTCAAGTTTAATACTTCTACTGCATGCTTATTGAACTACTTCTTCCCACAGAGACGCTGTTCATGTTGGATGCCAGTCTTGGTGATAGTATTTGCTGCAGTAACTGCGTACCTTTTCTCCACTGAAATGGAACATTTTCTGCACTGAAACTTAGGACTACCTCAAGTTTGTTACAGCAAGTTGTTCTTTGTTTACTGTTTTTATATTTCTTTACAATTGTTTTCTACATTTAAGGCAGAGTTACACAAATGTGCCATTTAAAATGTTACCTCCAAATACAATTCAACTATATTTAATAAAACATGGCTTGGTATTCTGATTTCAAATATAATAATATTTACCTTCCTACTGAAAAGTAGGTACAGCTGTGACACAAGGTGCAGTGGAGCTGAAGATTTTGGATCCAGGTAAGTATCTGTGGGCAGGAGGGAAGGTTCGGTCATGGGAGGGGGCAAAAAGTGTAGGTATTCCTTTATAACAATGTGTATGCTGATTTTAAATAATTAAAATTCACTACAAATGATCACATCTACTCAGTAAAACAGTACTAAGAACAAGGTGTAGAATCCCAAGCAACCAGTCACAATCTATCTTGTAACAGTCCAGCTTCAGTAAATGGAACTTACTTGCACAGTTTGTTAAATAAGGACATTCGGGTTTCAAAATGGCCACATAACACAAGCCTGGTATTATTTTGTTATAGCTTCCCAACAAACAACCAGCAGTTACATGTGCAATTTCAAAAATGTTCCGTTATAAACTTACCGATAACGGGATTTCTATGAATCTTCCAGGACAGCAAGCCTACTTAGGTTGCTGGCCTGGAAGATGATTGGAGAAAGTTAGATTTTGTGTTTCTTCGTATATATTTGGCCACACCACTTCCTCAATATGTTATAGATAAACAGGTTTCAAGCACGGATAAATGCTCGGTTAACATGATAAAGTAGGATGCTGCTTTAGTTCTTCATTAGCTGTCATTCATTTTGATGAAGTCACTGATTCACAGTGTTCATTACTGCAATATGGGTCTGATCAGTGTGTGTCCCTAATGCCCACCAATTAGTCCCTGATACATGTAGCAGAAAGCTTATAAAAAGCCAAAGAGCTCAACACACCATCAGCAAAGCTGCATCCTGCAGCAAACTAAATTAAACTGGTGTCTTTGATACTACATTTTTTTTTCTTCAACTCAAAGCAAAATATGGACACTACCTTCTAACCCATCCTGCATGTTTTTGCCCACCGTGTGAAGCAAGACATACTCACTTAGATCCAGATCCCTCAACAATGCTGTTTCCACATGTGAAGGTATATAACACAGTAGGGTAGATGTGCCCGTGCTGGCCCTCCTCTGACATTCTCCTTGCGCTGATGTCGCGTCTCTTCTGGATCCCAAGAGGGCCCTGCTATTTGATAGCCAATCAGAAGTGTCTGTCATGCAGGCAGTGACTTGGACACCCACGTAAGGACCCCACCTCATTTAAAGAGAACAGACTACAGCATCACATAACTGTGGCTTTAGAGAAGTAAAAAGGACATTTAGATTTATTTTTTTCTACATGCCAATGATCAGTTTTAGAGGGGTATGGAGGAATGGGAGTAGGTTCATGTTTTGCCCATAATTGGGCTTTAAACCGGTATTTATTTAGTTTTTTACTGTTAATAGTAATATAATGCTACAAATTAACACAATAATGAATATATAGTGCATTCCTGTAACAAACAGAGCACAACATGAGCTATTCCCTTTTAGGGCAGGTTCACACCATTTTCCAGGCCAGATCTGGTCCGGAAAATGGTGTGAACCTGTCTGCAGTTCCAGTGCATTCCAGACCAGACATGCAGTATTTCTCTGGTCTGGTCTGAAATGGACTGCGCCGGTATGAACAGAGGCCAGAAATAGCATAGGTATACATTAGGATGCATTTTGTGTCTGGGAACGATCTGGTCTGGTGATGATCTGTATGCGGTGTGAATGGGTCCTTAGACCCCGTCTGCCCTAACAGATGAGAAGTAAGGTGGGGAGATGAGTCATTTTCCAAACTAATTTTTTTGTGAGTGTAAATTTTTAGCTTGAGCTACTGAGCTTTGTTAAAAAAACAAAAATGTGTTGTTGTTTTTTTATAGCAAAACAGATAGGTACAGCTCATAATACGTGCAAAAGGAGGTCCACCTGGTGGCTTGTATTGAGAATACAAAACATACTTCATATTCCATTTATTTAAAATGAAAGACTATCTTCTGGTCTTGACTATAAAAAAAAAAAATATATACCAGACTACTATTCTTTTCCCCTTTTATAATAACATTCTGCCTGTTACTTTGACTAGAGTTGATAGTGTGTTATCAGAAAGTCTAGCAGTAAATTTTACAGTAGTGAAAAGCAAACACATAACATGTTGGACATGCTGTGAACATTTATAATATTTACACACTGTATCAGAGAGCAACAGCTGGCAGTGTTACAGTTTCTGTGATAATTTCAAGGTCTGTGAAATGACCTTGTGCATGAAACATCTGTCTAAGGCCCTCGATCCACGTCTGCAGGAGTGTCTGTACAGACTGATAGACAGACTCTGGAATGGTGAAAGAATAAACTTGTATTTTCTGGAGTCCAACCTTAGGGCATGTAGTCTGGACAGTAAAATGTTTGAGGGGTGTGAAAGATAAGCAATTCTCAAAGCTTTTTGAGGTGTCAAACCAGTAGACAGCAGGAAAGTGCAGAAGGAAACCAAACATGGTGCAGAGGTTCCACTCCGGACAGGGGATGTCTCCTATGGATATAATATCTGGCTTTGTATCCTGATTAGGCTTCAGAAGTGTCAGGAGGTCTGAAAGTTGGGATCTGATCTGGCAAAGTCTATCTTGGTTAAACATCTCTGGCTGCTTAAGTTTGGCAGAAACATCTATTACATGTAAATCTTCCCTATCCAATAGCAACCTCAGATAAGACACAGTGCTTGACACATTGACAATAAGAACAGTGTCTGCCATGTTAAGAACATGGAGAGGCCCCTTTATGAAACCCATCTGATGAAGCGCCTTGAGGTATCCCTGAATTTCTTCCACACCAGCTCCACTGAGATCATATAGAAAACCAGGCTTCAGTCCGCAGTCTACAAACAGTATCTCAGCAGCAAGTTTCAGGGCCAGCGATCTCTTCTTCTCTTTCAGGTGGTGCTTAGCAGCCAAATACAGATCCTTTACGAGGGCCATTATGTAAGGGAGCAGGGACTCGACCGTAAAGCCTGTAACACAAAGTACATTTGAGATCAATAGTATAACTCAAAGACCACATTCTTTGAAGACTTAAAATAAAATGAATCTGATCAAAGTGTCTTTACAGTAAGTTGGGGGCACCTAAGAGTCCATCAAACACTATCAGCAACACAAGATTGCATGTCATCACCAGGCATTAGCAGGTCTGATAATTCTAACTTCTACCACTACTGGGGCCCTCTGTGGACTTCCCGTCTGTAGAAATGTCTTACATTTTACACACGCATGATGAAATCTGAATTTTGGGCTAGAAACCCTCAAGCAATTATATAATTTCTGAAAGCAGAGGCCTAGTAGAATAAAAAAAAAATGTGAGTTGTAATTTTTTATGAGACAAGATATTTATGCAAATGTTTATCAAACAAATATTTTTTTTAGAATAAAATACACTAAAATGAATTGAAGTGCACAGAAACAGACTATAATGACTCCGGAATAAGGGGTACAAATGTCTAAAAGCGGTCCCATGGTATGTAATAGAATATTGGCTTTCAAATCTCTGTGTGTTAATATAATAAACACCTTGTTTCTATTTAGAATTATATATGTCCATATTTGCTTATTATGTATATACTCCAATCAGCCGTAACATTATGACCACTGACAAGTGAATAACCTGATTATCTTGTTACAATAGCTCCTCTGCTAGGAAACCTTGGGTCCTGCCATTCATGTGGATGTTACTTTGACATGTCCCAGCTACCTAAACATTGTTATGTAGAATCCTCCAAAGCAAATAACACCACACCTGCCGTGAGGTCTGCTGTATATTGGTGCTGGTCTGAGGTCTGCTATGCAATGCATGTGTTGGTGCTGGTCTGAGGTCTGCCATGCAATGCATGTGTTGGTGCTGGTCTGAGGTCTGCAATGCAATGCATGTGTTGGTGCTGGTCTGAGGTCTGCAATGCAATGCATGTACTGGTGCTGGTCTGAGGTCTGCCATGCAATGCATGTATTGGTGCTGATCTGAGGTCTGCCATGCAATGCATGTATTGGTGCTGGTCTGAGGTCTGCTATGCAATGCATGTGTTGGTGCTGGTCTGAGGTCTGCCATGCAATGCATGTGTTGGTGCTGGTCTGAGGTCTGCAATGCAATGCATGTGTTGGTGCTGGTCTGAGGTCTGCAATGCAATGCATGTGTTGGTGCTGGTCTGAGGTCTGCAATGCAATGCATGTACTGGTGCTGGTCTGAGGTCTGCCATGCAATGCATGTATTGGTGCTGATCTGAGGTCTGCCATGCAATGCATGTATTGGTGCTGGTCTGAGGTCTGCAATGCAATGCATGTATTGGTACTGGTCTGAGGTCTACCGTGCATTGCTGCTGGTCTGACATCAGCTGAAAGTAACATCCTACAGGCTGGACATAGCACAACGGAGCCATGGAATACAGGCACAGGGATCGCACTGAAACTGTAAGTCCAGTTTACTTTTCAGCACATGTAAATATGAACATATTTTTTTTAAGTGTGCACCAGTTATTAATTTTTTTCACTTATAGTTGTGCTGCTAATGGCAAGGTAAACAAATTAAAATAATTAGTGAGTTTAACTTACTATTAGCACTACAACTATGAGTGTAAAAATTGATATTTAACTACTACGGTGCACTATTGTTCATTGGCACCCGGTTGTCTGATGGTTGCAAAAATGGCACTCGGGGTGTAAAAGGTTCCTGACCCCTGATCTAAGTAATGCCTCCTGAACCTATTACATCAACACATATTATATTCAAATCACACACCTGTAGCTTTTTCATAAATTATAAAGTAATGGTCCAGTCCTTGATGTGTTTCACAGTCTATGCTTCTTCAGGAGAGTGAGGTACTTAAAGGTTGGGAATATAGCCAAAACAAAATACAGGTCAGTCATTACCAACGGATCACCACAAAGATACAGGATGCCCGAAGGATACCCATAAAGAACTATTGAAGAGTTTGCCCAATTTATGTATCATATCAGGTGAGAGTCAGGCCCATAGCCTTGATCATTTTGTGCGGTCTCATTTTATGGTCATATCTTATCTCTTGCACAACGGTATCCC